CAGACTTGCAATAGTGGAATCAGCAAAGGAACATGAATATCTAAGACAAAAAGTGAGAGGTAATTAACAAATTCAGTAGTTGACTAGCTAATTGCTAAAATTTCAATGAACTTTATCGTAGTGTATTGTAAATGATTTTAACGCTGAATGACTACTTTAACCTGCCAAAATTAGAAATCTTATGCAAAATTAATTATCTAATAATATATTGGGGAAAATAATATTATACTGACTTAATCATCAAACAAAACAATTATCGTGCTTAATGATTTCATACTTGGAATCTATAAATGTTTTGTTGTTTATATTGAGTATATGCACTTGGAAATAAATAGGACAAAACGAATTGAAAAATGTTTGAAATGAAGTGATGAATTTACAAAATAACAAAAAATCAAAACAAACAAAAACAAAACAAAACAAAATAAAAAAAGGAAAAAAAGGAAAGAAAAATCATAAAAGTCCCACAAGAGTATTAGTATTATTATCAAAATATGTTTTATTCTTATATCGGCAGCTTGTAGAGCCTTACTATTCTTTTTACATTTTAAAGAGTTGGGTTTAGGATACATGTGGATTGGGGCACGTTATGATCCCTCAGTCGGTGAGCATAGGTGGGTAGATGGTTCCAAAATGACTTTCAATGGCTGGTACCCCGGAAGAAGCAGTATAAAAAAGGGTTGCGTTGACTACTTAAAAGGCTTCGGTTACTTATGGAACACTCACTGGGACTGTGTAAATACGAAAGGTGCTTTTATTTGTGAAGCAGGTACGATGAAATTGATAATAACGAAATCGATTAAGTAACAAAGTCATTGTGATTGATCTTTGTAAAAAAGTTATAGTTAACTTTTGGGTTCAAGGAAGGTTTAATTGTATGAATTATGTTAATATAAGGTTGTTCTACTATTTAAGAGACGGACCAACCTACAAACCTTGGAGTTAAATATAAATAACCATTATCGGTGTATATCGAACAATAAATACATGATAACGTCGTTTGATTTGTTAAAAAGTTCTGAATTTGAAGTAGGCAAAGTTCCATTTGTGATTCGCAAAGCACATGTTGAGTAATGGGTAAAATGTCGTTCATGTAGATTTGTGCTAAATATTTATAACCTCACACTGAAAAAATGGATAATTTGAATTACATGTAGTTACAAATAATGTGTAACCCTAAAACAATATATAACTTCAACTTTAGAAAGTGTTTCAAGTGAAGGTATTACCGAACCTACATCATTAGCAACATCAACTGTATCTGTGACATCTATAAAATCTAAATCAACGATACCAGCAACATCTTTAGTGACAACAACTGTGCTACCCCCGACTACAACAACGTTATCACAGACGACTACCGCAGGTAATGTATTGATGAATATTTAACTGTAGCATTGGCATATTATCATCGTCGTAACTGTATTTATCAAAACAAAATAAATGGTGTTGTGTCTTAATTACCGTCTTAGACATGTGTATACCTTCATTTCTACTGTTTTAAAGGAAAGTGTGGAATTGGTTGGGAAAAGATTCCAAATTCAAACACATGCTATAAGTTTGTTATCCAGCTTGCAACTTGGTCTGATGCAAGTGACAAATGTAACGAGGATGGTGGTAGCCTTGCAAGCATAACTTCTGACCAGGAACAGTCATATATTGCAGGTATATTGATTCAACATCTTTAGTTAGGCTAAAGCTAGACTAATAGTGCCAATTGTAAAGGTTCGATACTCTTATTTTAAGCATGAATTGTCTCATAACTTCTTTTCATCTTTTATCATTGTGCACATAAACAAAGTACAACGTAGTTTGACCAGGTTTTGGTATGTCTAATAGGTCCAAATTATGTTTTGTTTGAAGAAATATAAACGTACAATTGTCCATGTGGGGAAAGTAAATATATAAATATGTCTTTTCAAATCAAATGTTTCTTGCTAAAGGGATAATTTAGCCTTTACGCTATTGACTATGGTGTATTTAACTTGCTTTTTATTCGTATATTTTCAAAAGAGCATGTAACAAAAGTTACCCTTCTACACAAAAATGACGTATGTTAATTATCATACTTAAGCCTAAAAAGTATAATATTATAAACAGACGAGTATTGCGTTATAATATCAGTTTGAGAAAAACTCATTCTATTTTATCAGGAAGATTAAAGGGAATTTCGAGTGTGCCTGAAGCTATGTGGATAGGTGCTAATGACATCGACATTGAGGCAGGATGGAAATGGACTGATGGTCAACCATTTGCCTATTTGAACTGGGCTCAGGGTAATACACCACACTACAAAAATATGAACTTCTTTTCTAAAGTTGAAATGATATGTGCTATAATTTCGATTCACTTTTTGTTAATAAAGCTTAAAAATGTACAATATCTAGCTGTTTTTGCTATTTTTAGTTCTGTATAAAATGTTATATATTTATTAGGGGCACCGAGCTACTATAAGACCGCCGATGATAATGATGGAACTAATGTTGCAGAAGATTGTGTAGTTATAATTACAGGCAACAACAATAAATTTGGCCAATGGGAAGATTTACCATGCTCTAAACAGGAAGGTTATGTGTGTAAGAAAAATGGTACGATGCAAGAACTTTACATAACGATTTTTTATTTAAGATATTGATGTTTATAATGAAGATGAAACTTTAAACACAACAGAAGCAACACGTAATTGTAACTAAGTTAGCAAAGCATATCAATTAATTCTGATATTGAGTTGTGTTATTTTTCAAGCATGCTTGAATGATGCATTGTAACGTTGTTAAGTTGACTTGCATTTGAAGTGAACTATCTGAAATTGTTCATTTCAAACAAAAGCTTTAAAAGCGACACGCCATTAATTCCAACGACTGCAAAATTGCCAATATGACCATAAAGTAAGCCAAAGTTCCATAATTAAAATGACCTAAGAACGGCCTTATTGTAGAAGCAGTCGTCTTATTACGAAATTAAAAGGAATAATTAATGATGTTGCAATTGAAACAATGTTAACCAATTCTCGAATGTATTAGTATTTCATATATATATCAACACGTTTCCGAAAGTAAATTCATGTACATTAAAAGCCAATGTATAAGATTAACCAGTAATTGTTGTTGTTTTTAAATGTAAAGCTTGTTTTTTAAATAAAATATTAATGGTTTTTGGCTAGTACATACACAGTAAAGTTTGCCTTTTTGAAAATTAACACCTTAGAATATTTATAAACTTATGAATATAGAATATCTATAAATTTTTAAACTTGTTTTCTATCCTCAATTAATAAACAGTTGATGAAAAAAATGGCACCACTACTACAGAGATGCCCCCACATATCGCAGGTAAAGTTATGTATTAAATATTATCATAGCATAAAATCGGCTATTTTCCCCTCTTTTGCCCATGTTATAACGGGGCCAAAACCATGCGTTTACATAGTCACGCGCTCTTGTTATAGCCCGGTTTTACCTATGCGCAATACATACAGGGCCCAGTAAACAAACAAAAAATGACGATTTGGCCTGTTTGCCAGAGTCATGCGCTCTTGTTATATTGGAATTATTAATTCGAGGGACGGCGAGCAGCATTCAAGTAATTATGCCGGCAATACGGCGTATAGACATCGCCGCTCATCTTGGTTGTCGCCCTTTCTTAGAAACGGACAGTTGTCAATGTAAACAAATAGAATCTGTCATTCAGTTTAATCCCCCGCTTAACTTACAAAAATGGAAAGCACAAAATGAATATAAGAAAACGTTGTTTTATTGACGTTTATATTGATAAATGTTCTGTATGTTTCTTTAAGAGAATAATGTTATATGCCTGATTTTTTTTTAAACTTGTGTGCTTAAAAAAACCGATTCTAAATTTGAATCTGATGTCACTGATCTTTTGTTCTTTTTCCTACCGCCAATCTGTAATCATTCTAGGAATTTCTGAGGCATCTGTTTTGTCTTGGGTAGAGTAATGTTATGTTTTTCTTAAGTTAATATATCTCCAAAGTTAAACTTTGTTAAATCAATTAAAATTCGAAATTTCGTTCGGTTCTCAAGTTGTTGGCCCCGGGAAAAATAAAACGCATACGTAAAACATGTAAAGTTGGATAAATACCGTTCAAGCACAAGGATTTAATGTTTGTGTTTTATACATAATATACATCATGAATCTGTTTTAAAATTTTATGCTATAATAGCGTCAACGCACGTTTATTTCGTGTTATAAAGTCTTCAGAGTCCCTCGGAACTGTTGGAGCCCTCGCCCTACCGGGCTCGGGCACCAACCGTTCCTCGGGACTCTGCAGACGTTATAACACGGAAAAACGTGCGTTAACCCTTTAATAGTTCATGAAATCTTACACTTGATTATAAGAGGTTGCAATGTTACAACGACAAGAAAGAAATGCTTCGTATTCATTGTAGAAAATATTAAATACTGCTTAGCCGGTGTGCGGGGGAATAAGATAATTTACTCTTTTAATTACATTCATAAACCGACTCAAATGGATACAGTCTGATTGTCGAAATATATCTGTTTTGTTCAAGTGTTATGATTTTAAACGTATAATTGCTTCTTACTGTAATATTAAAACGCTTAAGGTGTTAAGCGTTTATATGCGAAAACGTTTATTGAAAATACTTGCATTCAGATCAAATGAAAAAATCAAATGTTTTGAATAAAGAATGGTATTTGTTTGTTTACATACAATCTATCTAATTCGTTATTTTATGTGACAGTCATATAAAACTAATCATTTTTACAGCCTTATGATGCGTCATAATGAATAAAATGTTAAAAATGCACAACACATTTCTTGTCTTTGCGTTCTATCTATCTTTGCTAGAAAGCGTTATTTTTTGACTTTTTTAAAAATGATGTTTTTTATGTTTTTTGCAGAGACAGACATTATTGAGGTCTATCAAAAATCAACTTACCGTGCTGACTTTCAATCTGTTGACCTGTTTGAGATGGGTGTACGAGTGCTGAATCATTTCAGATTTGCTGTGAAAACTAAAAGAGACGCACATGTTTTACTACAGAATAAACGGACAGATTTTACAAGATAGATACATAGTAATTATTGCTGGTTGGGGTGGTGGAAAGTCTGTTATACATTATGCTGGAAAGGGTGTTGAATATTTACAAACTGGATTAGTATCGGCAGATACATTTACGTAAGAATATTATTTTACATTGTGTATAATGTAAACAATTATTAAACTGACTAGCGAAAATGACGAAACTAAGGATGTCTTCTCGTTGCAAATCATTTATTATGTATCACTTTATTTCAATAAAATTGCTTTTCTTAGTCTATGACATTAATGTTTGGTTCATCGAAATATAAATAATTGTGGACTTCAAACCACTTGCCTTAAATTAATTTGTGTTCAAATTTACCTCCAGGGACTATAGATTTTATCATGCGAGGAAGTTATTTAGCTAGTTTACGGTTCACAGGTGGTTCTACTCAGATACTTAGATACTAAAAAAAATCACGGAGGGGCACATGATGTCTTCCTCCACCAGTAAAGCCTCCACCTGTAAAGTTGCTACATGACCAATTCAGTATTAATGCGACGTAAAACCCAAATAAAAAAGAACGTCTTTAAACTTCTTTGGTAACTGGTTATGAAAATATTAAGATTCATTTGATCTTTATAGAGGTTTTTTTAAGGATCAGCCAGTTCTATACAAACACTTTGTGAGACTATTCCTAATTAGATTTTAGATTGCAAATAAGTAAAAGTAGTTGCTTTAAGTTTCCTGTAATCGGGAAAATTTTATATATTACATGTATGTTCAGACATAAAACTTATATGTGAACTCTTTTTGGCGTTTTATATTTTTGTTATAAAAAAAAAGAATCTGAACTGAATTGTTTTCTGATTGTGAATTTCAGCTGGTTTTGGATAACATGGAATTCAAAAAATATTCAAGTTGGAATGTCCGAGGAGGTTGGGAAGAATGTGATCTTAACATACAAAGGTGAAATAATGAAAATAAATTATGTATCCATAGGAACGGACTGGAGTACCGATGCTTATTGGCGTATTCCAAAAGGTTTGAGTGCTTTATGATATAACCTGTTTTGATAAAATCCTTTTTTTTGTTTGGCAGACAAAATTGAGCTTTTGATACAGACATGAGCTGAAAATGACAGTGACCGTCTTGAATAACCAACATATTGCATAATTCACGGGTGACATACACTCTAAAATAATATTGACTATAAAAATTAAATTATTGCCCTTTGCTTTAATTTTGATATCACAGATTTGATTGATATTTTGACGACACTAGCGAGAACACTAATGACACAACCGCCATGTTGATAAATTCAAATATGACCTTGAAATCAACTTCCTTGTACCTCAAAGTAAACAATATTGAATTTGCTTAGACTCTGTAAAATGTAATAGATAGATTATTTTGTCTTCTAGTTGACAAAACGACACTAAAGCCGACATGTGAACTATTCGAATTTTCTGGTTAAAATGGCTTTAAACGTGATTTGAAAATTCTTGAAATTCGATTGAATTGTGGTTACTGTGATATTCATTTACGAATTTGACTCATTTTTAGATGAAACGTCTCTAATAACCCCAGCGACTTGTTGAATTATTCAAATTTTACTTTGACCTTAAAATGACATATACTGCTTTGGTTCAAACTTTTGGACAAAACAACATTTATGATGAAAAACGTAAGTTTGACCTTGGCCTTAAAGAGACAGTGAAAGCTATGATCTAGTTACTAAATTGTGGTTAAAATGCCATCACTTTGTTATTAATGGAAACATTGATAACACCCACATTGTTGTGTCGCCACTACCGAGTAGTGGCGAAATAAAATGCAGTTGTATGTCCGTCTGTACGTCTGTCTGTCTGTGCATTCGTCAAAAAACTTGTCTTGACTACTCCTCAAAAACTCCTGGTAAAATTGCATCTAAACTTTACAGGAATGATCAGAACCAAGTCTAGCTGTGCATCTCATCGACATATTTCGGTTTCATTGTTTTTTCAGAGTTACGGTCCTTGATATTTCAATTTTTAAAATTTGTCCTGACTACTCCTTTCTTCCACTATTTAAATGAAACTTATCAGGATTCATCGGTAGCTATTACATAGGTTTTCCGGTTGAATGATTTTTGGCCAAGTTATGGCTCTTGAATAAAAAAACGCGTTTTGTCCTGTTAATGTTTTTTGTGTATCCTGCTACACAGTAACTGCAAGATGGAATTGGTTATCATGAGGCGACATATGTGATTACTGATTGCTCTTGTGAATTATTTAAGTATGACATTGATCTGAAATTACCTCCTAAACTGTCAGGATGAAATGAGTTAAAACCAACTACAAGAATAGAATGCAATAGATTAACTTTAACAGTATATAGTTTTTTCATTTTTATCTGAAAGGTTATAAATAATTTGCACATTAATTTTATTTACTTTATTTCTCAACATCTCTTTAAAAAACAAGCAATTTCTTTAATATTGGATGCGCATATTTTGATGTAGAAATACCTTAACATAGCAAAGAACTGTAGATATTCAAAACAATACGGCCTATTAGTTTTACCCATAATCAATTACTTTTACATAATGCCATAAAACTTTATTTTTAATATTTATTCTTTAGGTGATCAATACTACGGCTGTCCTGGTAAAGGATGGGTCGGTCACAAAGGCTCTTGTTATCTTGTTGTTCAGGAAGAACGTGACTGGAATGGCGCAAATGATTATTGTCATAAAGAAGTTGCTGAACTTGCAAGTATTAAAGATGAAAATGAGCAGAGTTTTCTCTTTAGTCAACTTCCTCAAGGTTATTACACCTTTATTATTTTTTTTCAAAAGTTATGTATAAACCATAAGAGATAAAATAAAGAAATGATAAAAATTCATAAAAGCTTTAATATAAATAAATCCTTTGTTTTCTTGAATGATATTATTAGTTTTAGTATGTCGATAATGAAATGAAAAACTGTTAAAATTGCACTAATTGATTAATTTTCTATCGTTTTTTATAGGTAGTTATTGTTTCAATAAATTTCACAATAATACGATGTGTGACAAATGGGCAGAGTACGGAGAATGTGAACGGAACCCGGTGTGGATGGCCACAAACTGTCACCTTGCTTGCAAACATTGTATGCACAATTGTAGGGACATGTAAGTAAAGACATCTTTAAATCATTTTTCCATATTTTCTACAGCATAAGAAATTAAATTGTATTTTTGAAGACAAGAAATTTTATTGTTTTGCAAATGTCGGTATGGCGGGTTGTCGGTATGTCAGCTTGTCGGTTGGTCGTTTCCGCTCAATTACCAAGGAACAGTTTGAACTAATTTTGTTATTGAAATTTTTAGCTGTAACAGTTATTTACTCTGAGTAAGTATTATTATGTAATAATAATTGAACATGTAACTGTTTTAGACATCAAAGCTTCAAGTGTTTGGAATGGGCAAAGCAAGGCGAATGTGCACGAAACCCAAAATGGATGCTTAAAAATTGTGCCATGTCATGTGGAGTTTGTCAAGGAGGTATTCTAATTAAACGTTTTTTAACAAGATACTACCCCATTGCTTTTAACTACTGATAAATTTTGATTTTTATACTTATAGATGATTTTTTGTAATTGCTAAAGTAAGAATATTTTACACATTTTTTATAACTAAAACATTAAAATTGAAATGTAAATATTTAACTGCCAGGAGGGTTACAAAAACAGTTCTTTTTATAAGACAAATAAAGCACATATCACATTTTTATAAGCACCGACACGAGGTTACTGGATAGGTCTGCAAAGCACTGGAATGGACCAAAGTTACAGATGGTCAGATCATAGTGAAGTTACATATACGAATTGGAACACTCATCAGCCCCTTTGGTTTAACCTTCGACCTCGAAGCTGCGTCGCCATGTTCATGCAAGTAAGTTTTTCTAAACTCTTTTAATTACAAATTTGAACATAATGTCATAAAATTGTTTTCAATCAACGTACATTTCTGTCGGTTGTTTAATACATGAACTATTGCAACGTTGTCCTTCAAGTGATTGTTATCCGAGACCTCTGTTATTTTTTTCGTTCCGCTTCTAAAACGCAAGTCCGTATAAAATGTGTTAACTTGAAATTAATATTTCACTCAATGTTCCTATATATTTGTTCATTTCTAAAGGAATGCTGTAACAGTTTGCTTTGATATAGCCAATTATCTATGTTACAAAACACGCATCTCGTTTTATTGTCTATTCTCAAAAGACTGTTTTTTTATTTAACACACATTGGTGTCAAAAATTAAATGAATAACGAAATTGGTGTAAAGAGTTGTGTATCAACAGTTTTTGTTATTAAAATGATTCTAAGAGCTGAGCTTCTATTTATTTACATAATTAAACGAAGGAAACATACAGTATATTTATTTCTTTTCTCTACCATAAACTTTTTGTAGTCAATGATTCCGAAAGACCAGAAAATATAACAACACTTAAATTTAGGTGGGGCCAATGTTAACGGCTTCAAGCGCTTACTGCTGTTGTATGATAATGAAATTAAAAAACAATCAGTACACTTTTAGAAACTACAAGTTGAAAAATATCAGAATGTTTAGAAAGGAGACGATTCATTACAAATTTCTTTGAAGAATGGCCAATGGAATGATGGGCAGTGCTCTGATCCTCTCCCAGGATTTATATGTAAACGGTCAAAGATGCTGTTGTCCATAACAACGCAATCACCATTCAAAGAAGGCTGTTCTATGGTATGTAAACAATAATCTTTTAGAACGAAATTATATCAGTATTATTGATTAAATATATACACTTATGTTACAATCAACTTTATTTAGAATTTAAATATATAGATATAACTTTATGATGTTAGGGCATTGAAAGTTATTAATTTATAAATAAATGAAAAAGGAAATTGAATTCTCGGACAAAATAGAAAGTTTATATTTAACAGACAATTACACTAAATGTTCAAAATATTTGGGTCTATGTCTCCTTGTTGAAAAGGACGTTGACTTTGAATCATTTACCCTCATCATTCGCTTGTTCAAATCTGGCAAAAAGGTTTTTATTTTAAACTATTTGATCTTACCAGTAATGGTATGAATGAAGGCCGAACCTGAAAAAAAGAACATTTACATAACAGGTAATGTAGATTATTGAAATAATAAAGACACGTATAGACGGTTTCATTACAACAACATCAATCGTGCAAGAACAGCATGAGTGATCGCTGACAAGGAAGGAGCACGCCTATGTAAACTCACGCCTGAAGTTATTTTTGTGTGCTTCACATGCTCTCCACTGAGTAATCAATTGTTGTATTCTTATGCTATTGGTTTGGAACACAATACTTGTTTTGGTTACAGGAGAATGGGTACGGATATGGAGTGTACTGTTACGTTTATGTAAAGGAACAAAAGAGTTGGGTTGATGCGCAGAAGAACTGCGTTTCCCAAGGAGGTACATTGGCCTTTGTCGGAGATGCGTAAGTAATTATATATCAGTAATAAAATGTAATAAAAGTCGGATAAAAATCATCTCTAGATAAGCGTGAAGAAAGATGTTGGTTCAACTATTTACATCATAATCAAAATCAAAACATCCAAATACAATTCCTTCTATTGGGACATTGTCTTAGAATTTGGAGACATATTACATAGTTGTCACAAGAAGGTGTAAATTTTGTCAAATTGTGAGCTTTCAATACTGAACTAATCAGCTTCAAAGGTAATATTAAAAACTGTTTTTTTTTTACATAATGCGATTTTTAGGCATGTTTTAGTTTACGCTTTTAGTTTACTGTTGCCATGATATAAACAAATTTACCATTGCCTTCATTTATATTGGTGTCATTGTGTGCAATTTGTATGTCTAACAAAAATGTGTAATCTCTTGAATCATGTAAAATTATTTCAAGTTGACATATTTGGCAAACTCATCTCTTTAAGAATTTTTTCTTTACATTTGTCAGGTACATACAGGCGTTTGTTGCTAGTGAACTGCAAAACCAACTACAAGATTATTGGATAGGACTGTCGGTTACAAATGGAAATTGGTCTTGGGATGGATACCAAATGGACGATATCAGGCGGACACTGTTACACTTGGATCGGAATGTAAAAGGTTATAATGTGGATGTCAACCATTGTGTGTTCTGTATTGTTTTAATAATCTATAAAATTGTTAAGCTAGTTTAAGACTGAATTGATATGACTAAATGAACAAATAAAAATCACACTTGATTGAAACAGAAAGTTACAATTTAACTGTATAATGAATACTATGAACTATAATGTGACTTTACTAATAGTTGAGTTACACCTCCTTTTGATGGTGTACTGAAATACAATTTCATTAATCTTTCTAAAGTTGATGAAGTTACAGGCGGCTGTTTTGCAATGTCAGCTAAAAAACCTATCGGATTATGGAAGCTACACACCAACTGTTCTTCTGAATTACCATCAGTATGTCAGGTACCAAGACCTGGATTCACCACCACGACTCCTCCAACAACAGTATCGTCAACTGAACCTCTTCCACCTTGCGAAGAAACCTGGCAATCATATGGGCAATATTGCTACAAGGTAAAGTTTTTGAGGTTAATATTAAAGGCACATTTGTAATTGTTATTAGAGCGAATATACCTGGTAAGACGTTAATGGTAAGATTTTTTTGTGGTATGTTATTTTGTTTTATTCAGCATAATGCAAGCTTTACATTGAACATGTAACGTTGTATACATCTTAAATCTGACGAAACGGAGTGGATAGAATTTTATATAACTTGTATCATGTTAACATACCAAACTTTGCTTATGATCAGGAAATCTAATGAATGGCATTTACTGATCCTTCAGCGTAACTTTTCAACTTCTTTCGGGAGTCAATTTGTCAAACTTTTGGTCTTTAACTATGTTAATCTACAATTTTATTTGGCAATATATGATAAAATAAAATATAATGTTATATATTTGCAATTTCTGTGTATATTACAACGAATTACTTTTTCATCTGTAAATATTTGTACCTGTCTCAGACAGACGATAGATACAGATGAATTGTTTCGGTTTGAATTGACAATTATTTTACAAATATTTTAAAAGGTACAAGGCAGCACTTGTACCTTTTTATTGTTTTGTCACTATGTTTTTTGCATGTGTCATAAATTCAATTTAAATTTTGAAAAACGAGAAAAAAGGTCGAAAATTAAGTATATTTTATAGGTTGATTGAAATAATTTGTTTATAAAGTTTTAAGAAGTTTTAGTAACAATATGAAGTTTTTCTGATACTTTTTCACATATTTTTGTATACCACTGAGTTCTTATGGTGATTTTACGCTAATAAGCAGGCAATTAAATAGCGTTATTTATAACTCTTTTAACAGTTAATTCACAGAAAATAATATTCAGTGTTTTTTTCCTTTCTTTGAATTCAGGTATCTGATGAAAGACAACAATGGCACGTGGCACGAGAGATATGTAAACACTATGGTGGTGCAATGGTCAGAATAAATGATGCTGATGAAAACAATGCTATAACAAGAATGTAAACGTTGTTTTTATATCCATATGCTTAATTGTCCCCGCCTTTTTGAAAAAAGGGATAATCAATTGGTTCTGTCCCTCTGCCCGTCCGTCTGTCCGTCCGTCACATTTTCGTGTCCGGTACATAAGTATGTCATTTACCAAAGGAATTCGAAATAACATGTTTGTTTGTTTGATTGGGGTTTACATCACAACGACACAGTATAGGACATTTGGCGGAAGAAGACCTCAGGTGCCCTTCCGTGCATTATTTCAGGCACGAACGCGCACCTGATTATAACCACCGACGTTCCGTAAGCTAGCTGGATAGGTTCCTCAAATGAAAGAATCCAAAGTCCCTGTCGGGATTCGAACCCACGGCGATGATGGACAAGTGGTTTGAAGTAAACGACCTTAACCACTCGGCCACGGACACCCCTTTCGAAATAACTTGGCACAAATGTTTGTTATGATAAGACAATGCGTCATGCGCAACAACCGAACCCCTACCTTTAAGGTCAAGGTCACACTTGGTAATTTTGGTCAATTTTGTATCTTTTACGGTGTATGTCATGTCCGATCCATAATGTTTAATATCCATGCAGGGATTTTGAATGTATATGGCGCAAATGTTCACAATAATGAGACAATGTGTCAGTCACAAAGCCAGTCGCCAACCTCCAAGGTCAAGATCACAGTTGGAGGCCAAAGATTAACATACTCTTTTACTGGGTATATTTTGTGTTCGGTCTGGTCCATAACTCCTTTATAGATAAAGGGATTTTGAAATTATTTGGCACATATGTTGACAATAATAAGATACTGTGTCATGCGCTAAAAACCAGCCAAGGTCAATATCACAGTTGGAAGTCAATAATTAACATAAGCTGTTATAGGGCATATTTTGTATCCAGTGCATAACTTTCTCATCCATCAAGGGATTTAAAAAATACCTGGCACAAATGTTGACAATAATAAGACGGTGTGTCATGCACAACACCCGGACCCTTTTCTAAAAGGTCAAAGCCACACTAAGTATTCAACGCTAAACATGATCTTCTAAAGGGTAAATTTTGTGTGCAGTCCAAAATTTATTTTATTGTTCATAGGATTTTGAAATTTCTTGGCACAAAAGTTTACAATAATGAGACTAAGTATCATATGCAACATCCACACTTCTACGTTCAAAATCAAGGTCACACTTGGAGGCAAACTCTAAAAATTTTAACCTGAAAGTCCAGATCCATACTTTTGAAATAGCACATAATATTTTCTTAGGCGGGAGACGTTGAAATCTGACAGCTTTATTTTCAGTGAATATGCTGGAATTATTATAGAACATATCTTATAATGGTCAAGTCTTTTTTCCGACTGCTCAAAATACTATGCTTTGATAAGAAAATAGAGAAAAAGGAAATCCCTTAAGAACGTCCAGAACGGCTATATAATATTGATAATGTTGCAGGCTCGGTTTGATTAAGCCTGTTAAAGTTTAACTGGTAGTTACCTTCACCCTCTCTTACCACGGACTTAAGAAGAATTCAACATTTAAACATGAAAATGGCGTAATTGGGAATTAAGAGAAATCTTAGAAAATAAATATGTGAATAGGATTTTTTCACAAGCTTTATTTTTTTATATACACTATAGATATATTGTTTGCTGTCACCTTTTACGTTAGACAACCGAGTCATATATGTACATCTTACCATAACAATAACCTTGCCTTTCGTAAATAAATTTGATTTGTAATATTACCCATTAAATGTTTCATCTTTTAAAAAAAACCCACAAAACATCTTGTATTACTCTTATCCAATAGTAAACATCATTTGATTGTGTTTTTCCCCTATTTTCAATGTTCTATAAGACATATTGTTGTCTTATTTTAGGATTGATCATCACTGTTGGCTTGGTCTGCATGATACTGAAAGTGAAGGTGGTAAGCATTAATATTTCCAAGTAGCATACAAATTTAACTATTATAAACTCTAGCAACTTAGTTGACATTAAATTGCACTGGCGATTTAAGCAATGAATTTGTGTTGTGTGGTTCTGATATTTCAAAGACCATTTTCGACGATAATTAAACTGTTCCAGTGAAATATCCAAGCATTTTCATCAAATTTGCCTTCTTAAGACACAGTGGCTTCTATGTAAAAGAATGTGGTGCTTTTCCTGCATACATTCATATTCTTTATTTTGCTTCGAAACTCATAAGTTTCTCTGTGCTTGTTCCCAAGAGGGGCATAAGCCAAACTGTACAGATCGTCGTTCCGAGGTCAACTTTAGTCACAAAAGTTGTTTACATTAGTCCTTTTAAGCAAAACAGTACAAAACTTGTTTCATATCTGCGCTCTAACGACTTCATTGACACAAAAGTACATAGAATTGAATGTATGGTTGTTTGGCAAACATTTATAAAATTGTTTAAGCACCAAGATTTGAAATTGAAATAAGAAAGTTGTTCAAATCAGAAAGAGAGAGAGAGAGTGGGCTTGCAAATAATCATATTTGTATTTTATTTTTGAAACATTCTAGTGTTTGTTTGGGAAGATGGATCCCCGACTTTGTATACCTTTTGGTACCGTAATGAACCAAACAATGCTGGTGCCGGCGAGGACTGTGCGACTATTTCGCCAGGTGACGGATATTGGAACGATTTAACGTGTTATATAGCTAAACGTTATATTTGCAAAATACCAAGAGGTACGTACGATTTATTTGATAAAGAATAATTCAATTATACACTTACTTATCTAAAAATATTAATTTGCATTTTATTTACAACATAATAATGATTATTTTAAAACATACATTTATCTAAAATGATGCATTATTTAACCATATTTACATTGAACTTCAAAATTTATATGGCGACTTTCCAGCTTTCCTTGTGGAGGAAAACATAAGGTAATACTCCGTGCATAATTTAGGTATGAGTGAGTACCATTGTAGATTAATCAACCTTTTGTAAGCTAGCGTCCACACAAAAGAATCCTAAGTCCCTGGCGGGACTTGAGCACACAGCAGTTAGAGATAAGAAGTTTGAAGTCAGCGACCTAAACCACGCGACCAAGGAGGCTTTGTCCAATTAAAAGTTTCTAGTACACTTCAAATTGAGAGATCCCCACTCTGACCTTTGTATGCCCCCGAAGGAAGGCATTTTTAAGTCGCACCGTCCGTCTGTCTGTCTTATTGTCCGTCTGTCTGCCAGTCAGTGCGTCCCCACTTCATTCGTGTCCGGATTTGTTATACATTGAGGGATTTTAAAGTAACTTGGCACAAATGTCTACCACATCAAGACGATGTGTTGCGTCTAAGAACCACGTCCATACCTGAAAGGTCAAGGTCTTACTATCATTTTGAAGTTCAATTTATCACAATAAGAGTTTATAGGTACACGCATTCTTGTCCGGTCTGTAACTTTGTCATGTATCGAAGGATTTTGAAATAACTTGGCATTAATGTCTACCACACCAAGACGATATGTCGTGACTAAGATCCATGTCCCTACCTTCAAGGTCAAGGTCATATTTATAGTACTCATTCTCTTGAGAAGAGGTTGAAGATAGACATTCATGTCCGAACTGTAACTTTTCATGCATGGAAGGATTTTAAAATAACTTGGCACACATCTCTACCACATCAAAACGATGTGTCGCCGCTAAGGCTCAGGTTCGTCTGCCCGCCCTTGTTTGCCACTAACACAACAATCATGTCTAGACTGTAATTGTTTCATGAATTGAGGGATTTTGAAATAACTTGGCACAAATGTCTATCTCATGACAATATTCTGTTGCGTCCAAGAACCACGTCCCTTCTTTAAAGGTCAAGGTGACACTTATATTTTGAAGGTTCACGCTATCACAATTAGAGATTATAGGAACAATAATACAAAGAACAATATTAAGCAATTAGTTATTTTTATTCTCTGTTCTTTCCATAACACTTGCATGCTTTAGAAACCTTTTTGGGGGCATTCGTCACTTCCGTGACAGCTCTTGTATTTGAATGAATAGATTTAACTACAAATATTTACAATGTGTCCTTTTATTAATAAATATAGTATGGTGAAATTCTTATTGAAATGCACTATTCTAATGATTTGAATTAGACAGATTAGGGTCATCAAGGGATCTATCAATTAAACTGTCAATTGTTTTTCATCATTTTGATGATTAATGTGAGATATTCTATGATGTCAGCTATGTTATGTGTTTAGTTATGTGTAACATAAAGTTATCACTATGACCACTACTTTTTATCATGATTCGTAATTTGAGACATGTTGATTTTTACCAAATTATAAAGATAATTCTTTTAAATTTTTTTGATTACAATTAAACCTGAACTATTGTAGCTACATTGAGATAATGCACATTATTTTGTCTGCATCTCTGTCGTAAATTGCTGTAGCTCTGTTATAAACAACTGTTGGTACATATGATAACAAAAAGACATGTACATTTTTCAAGATTGGTTATTTACCTTTGAATGATGTTTTTTTTTTAAAAAAAAGTTCGTTTAAACAAAAATAACAACAACAAAAAGACAACAGTTTGCTCAAAAGTAATATGTCTCTGAAAATAAGTCTGATACATTTGGTTACAAAAGCAATGATGTTACTTATTACTTAAGAGATCCTTATTTTATATACCATTATAGCATAAAATCGGCTATTTTTCCCTCTTTTGCCCATGTTATAACGGGACCAAAACCATGTGTAAACATAGTCACGCGCTCTTGTTATAGCCCGGTTTTACATATGATATATACAGGGCCCTGTAAACAAACAAACAAAAAAATGACGATTTGGCCAGTTTGCCAAAGAGTAATGCGCTCTTGTTATAATGAAATTATTGATTCGAGGGCCTCAATCGCATAACGGTGGGCATCATTCAAGTAACTATGCCGGAAATCGCCGCTAATCTGGGTTTTCGCCCTTTCTAAGAAACGGAGTTGTTAATGTAAACAAATATCTGTCATTCAGTTTCACCTTCAGACAAGATAACACAAAATGAATATGAGAAAATGTTGTTTTATTGATGTCTTGTGTGCTTGGAAAAAAAACGATTCTGACGTCACTGATCTTTTTTTCTACCGTCAATCTGAAATCATTCTAGGAATTTGAATTTCTGTGGGTCATGTTCTGCCTTGGGTAGAGTAATTTAATGTTTTTTTCTTGAGTTAATAAATGATCAATGTTAAGCTTTGTTAAGTCAATTAAATTTCGAAATTTCGTTCGGTTCTGAGCATTTGATTTTCCTAAGTTGTTGGCCCCGGAAAAATTAAAACGCATACGTAAAACATGTAGAATTGGATAAATACCGTCCAAGCACAAGGATTTAATGTATGGGTTTTGTAAAATTTTATGCAATAATAGCGTCAACGCACATTTATGTCGTATTATAAAGTTATAGAGTCCCTCGGAACTGTTGGAGACCTCGCCCTACCGGGCACCAACCGTTCCTCGGGACCATGCAGACGTTATAATACGGAAAAATGTGCGTTAACTGTATAAAGTCACTTGTTATATATAATCCAATGATATCTGAATTGCAGGAAAAAGCGTAAATAAAGACCCGCCTATGATTAATTCTCTCAAAGGTATGAAATTTTAATTTGTATCATGTTCTGTGTTAAGCATTTTGGTGCTTCATAATGAGGTATTATATTATATTACAAAGACAAAAGTTATTAAACCTTTTAAGAAGTATTAAGTTTAAAATATTGAATTTAAAAAGGCAAATTGTTGCATAGGTGAAAAAAATGTTTCTAAAAATGCTACAATATTTATTCATGTTTGAATTTCCTAAAACACAGTATTGAAATCCATCTTTATACCTTTTAAGCATGTGATGAAAGTAGTCCCGATGACGGATGGAAAGTCTTTGGCGACTATTGTTACTATCTTGGTAATGATGAAACACTAACCTGGCATGAGGCAAATGCAAACTGTTTCAACAAAGGCAGTAATTTAGCCAGCGTTCATTCTGAAGAGGAAAATCGTTTCTTACTGAGCATGGTTTGTATATGAATTATTGATTAATCAGTAATATTAACAACCGGACTTTCCGACTAGGGTCGGGACTTATCGTAATCCACAAGAAACCGATATCGATATGTTTCGACAGTTTTCTTAATACGTATATTTAATATATATTTTATTACGTAAGGTAGTGTTTTTGTGTTTTTGACTGTGACGTCATTCTTTCACTGTCAGTTGTTCTTCAGTTTATTCTAGAGAGCATGCCTATAAAAATTTAGCGTTCGTTACCAAATAAATAAAATTGAATGTACGTATTATGTGTTTTTTGTGTGTTATTTTTTTTATCTAAACAAGCATATCTTGTTGTAGGCTGCACAGGCAAATGATGTGTGTTGGATTGGTTTTAATGACTTAGATCTTGACAATAGATTTAGGTAAGCTGGATATTCAAATTACGAGCTACCTTCCTGATCAATTTTAATTGGTAAAATTAAATTGTTCGAAAGACATCTACTATTTTTATCTAAATTAAGTAGGATAGGTAGGATGAAAATTCCAATGTTGCTCCAATGTTGCTCATTGTTGGTTTCAATTTCTTTCTCATAAAGTCACCAACTTTGGGTATATTCTAAAGATCAATAGAATGAAATCTAATAAAAATCAAATTATAATTTCATGACCTTTTCACATTTATTACAAAAACTCCCAACTATGATATTCAAATATTGACAATTAGAAAAATAATTGAACTATACTACTCATACATGCATTTGGAGTAAATTATGACAATAAGTGATTGTTAGTTTGGTGTTTCAGCTCTGTCAGGCAGTAACAGTGCTAGCTTTTATGATCGTTGTCTGCACGTTTGTCATCAACAATTTTTTCAATTGGCACGTCTTCTCATATGCAAAGCAATGCACAACTGTAACGCAAATCCAGGAGTATTAATAAAATCAGCTTTTTCTTTTCTTATATGACTAATACCGGAAAACGGCACTGTTCCCACAAGAAGCAAATTTCCCAGTTCTTGACTGATAAATTCCCTAAATAAAACTGATTTTTGTACTCAGTTTATTTCGTACTTTGAGTGTTTCACACCTAAACATTATTTTTTTGTACCCAGTTCATTTCGTACTTTAAGTGTTTCACACCTAGACATCTTTTAATATGTAAAACTGTATTATGCATATTTTTTGTCTCCCTGGATAAAAATGTTCCCAATGAATAATGTGCAAAATTCCCAATTTGAGTCAAACCGGAGCATTCTTCCAAATTCATCCAGTACCGGCATCATTTCCATAGCAAGGGAAAAAAACACTGTTACAATTAAGAAAATAATTAAACGGGTAAATATAACAGGATTGGCAAGGGAGTATTTAAGAAATGTTTTGTCTTGTGGCACTGAGTTTCTTTAGTATTTTTAACCAATGAACAAATTATTTCAGTTTATTTACCAACTACATACCTGTTCCAAGCTTGGTGTTCACAACAAAGCATGGCATTTCTTGATTCTTGGATGTTCTATGTGTTTTTCCATAGGCTGCAGAATTCACAAAACAGCAATTTTGACATATGACGTATAAATAACCCGACAGACCTTTTTGAAGTTCGCCTATTATTGTGTTGACTGACTGTGTTACTGGCCCTAAGCGACAATTTTTACAGTACCGTAAATTTTCAAACAGAACCTCCCATTCCACCAATCTTCTTCCAACTTTCCAAGATTCTCCTTCAACACATCTAATCTCCGGTTTAGAATCAGACTTAACACAATAATCGTGGTCGTTCTGCACTTTCTTCTGCCGCCATGCTGTATAATTTCTCTTTGTGAATTGGCCTTTCTTATTGCGTTCCAATGTTTTCGATAGAACGTTGGTCGCGGAAACTAGTTACTTCCGGTTGATTTTTTTCATATTTTTTAAAAATCATTTAATATATTGAGAAATTTGCGCTAAATATATTACTTCAAATAATGACAGATTTTGCACAATTTATATAAAGTACGTAACGCAAATAAATTTCAATATTTTTTCCGAAAGTCACGAACTTACCCGACATCGACCGATCTTTTTAAATTATGGCGGGAAATTATTATAGTCGCACTACCTTAAAGATTGCATTACTATATTCAAAAGATTATGGCACAACCATTTTATAAATCGGTCGAAAACAGTTAACATAAAACCTTGATGTAAAATTGAAATATATATACTACTATATTACATTCATAATTAATCTTTACATATCTACCAAACGGCAAACTAAAAATACCTATACGCTTAATTAAGTAAGCAAAATCAATATCAGATTAGATAAGAATAAAAGCTACTACTTTTATTTTCAAGTAAACAAATCCCTTAAACAAATGTTTTACATGAAGATATAATTTATTGTTATTTTTTTCAGTTGGAGCGATGGATCCGTTGTTGATTTTACACATTGGGCAAGCGGGCAGCCAAATGATATATATGGCGGAGAGAAGTGTGTCCCGATTTACTATGATGGTAATTTATCTATATTATTATTTTAGTTATCTATTGTATAAAATTCATAAGAATGGTATAGAAAATTATTTTCATTTCAGTGGGCAGTTAAATACAAATCTCTTTCTATTTGCAATTTTTCTTGCACAAATGACTTATAATTAACTTACCGGGTAAATTTTTTTTCTAGGATCATGGCACGATTATCCATGTAACGACCGAAAACCGTATCTTTGCATGAAAAGAAAAGATAGTGATACCATGACAACAACAACACCAGCAAAAGTAGTAATAAACGGAGGATGTCCAGAAGGATTCAACCACACATTCGGTATTTTCTACAATAACCACAATAAAAATTGGTATTCAGTATAAAACAAAAAACAAAAACAAAACAAAACAAAACAAAACAAAAAAACAAAACAAAAACAAAAGTCAAACAGAACTTGATTTGTGAGGTCTAAATTTTTAATTTTGAGTCAATGTTTATAACTGTTTCAGGAACTACACTAAGGTTCATAAGATTAGATAAAGTTTACATAGATCAAATTAAGGCACTAAAAACAGAAAGTTATTAAAAATTATCAAGAAATATTCTCAGAAATAACATGAAAATGTTATTTTCGAACCATTCGTAGCTCAATTGAGCGAAAAGCATTGCACCGCGTTTCAAGTTTATGTCATTTTCACAATTAAAATAATCATTTTGAATATTAACGGAGTGAATGTTATCTGAATTTTTGCACACAAGTTATTGGTCTAGACCATCATCAATCAAATGGAATATTAATCTCGAAAAATTAATTCCTGCCCCGTCAAGTTAAGAAACCTTAGTGCAATGAATGTGTTATGGAGCTTTCAAGTATTTAAATGTTGACTGAGACACACATTGTACTAGCATGATATATTCCTTGGTCAAACCATTTGAAATACTTTATGTCTTTAGTCCATAATAATATTTTCATTTATATGATAAGGTTGTGAATGTGGCAAGCTATCATTAAATAAAAGTGAATTGGGGAGTTCTACTTTTTGCAATAAGTTTTGGTACGTGTCAAATTAACACGACACAAACTGCATTAATTTGCTTTAAGTTTTCAAAATTATTCACTTTACCTTTTCAATTATATTTTATGCTTTATTTGATTTTTTTAAATACAATAGTAATTGAATAGAGAAAAACAGAATCCCTAAAGAAAGTCCAACACAACAAAATTGAAAATGTTGCAGGCTTGGTTTGATTGAGCCTGTTCACGGAGGTACTGGAAAGTACAAGTTACCCTCCACGCCCCCTAGCACCGGCTTGAGCAGAATTTAACATTTAACACGAAAATGGTAAAATTTTGAATTTAGAAACATCCGCAGATGTGTTTATACGGCGGTTATCATGGAACCTTCAATTAGACACAGTAGTGCCATTCCATGAAAAGCGGCGTATGGTCCCCAAGTAAAGGAATGCTTTTGCCCTAAACAATAGCTGGAACTAAATAAAATGGTATTTTGAAAGTGGATCTGAGGTTATGAAGCCTGCATGTCGCAGATAAGACGTCAAAAGTCAAATTTAAAAAGCAGGCAACACATCCTAAGGGTGAGTATACAGTATTCAATTAGGAATACTGGAACCACCCAAGTTGAAAATGGCCAACTAGAAGACTAAATTAATTTCTTTCTTAAATTCTTACAAATTTAATTCTTATTTCCTTTATTTTGCAGGCAACAAATGCTTCTACTTCAATTTTGATGAACAAACATACTGGGACCATGCAAAAGATAAATGCGAAATAATACGAGGGCATCTTCCAAGTATTCACTCTGAAAACGAAAAGGGTATGACCGGAGGTTTATTAACGCTGAATCAAAGCGGTTTGGCATTGTCGTCCTACCGTTCACCCTACGTTCTGTCCGATACTTCGTCCGTCTGGCACACATTATCTTAAACATGAAGCTTAAATTATATCAGCTATGCACATAAATCTTCATATGTTTTAACATCTTATAAATGTATAAAGGAGAAATGCATTGCCTTAAAAACCATGACTATCTTTTGCATAATTTAAGTTTTGTTTTCTTTGGAATGTTTACACTGGCTTTTTGACAATGGCATATTTCAAAGTTAAAGAGATATCAACTCAATAAGAATCATATATCTATTTCATGTATTGCCCTAGTGATCGTTATACTTTTCTGATTGAAGCTTAGCTAAGAAGAGGGTTATTTTGTCACATATTGCGTCTCTCATAGACTCACTCTGATAGTAGTAAGCATTTATATTAAAATCCCATATTTATGATGACTTAAATCAAATAATCAGTTCTTATAAGAAATTAGAGCTCTGAATATGACCTTGCTCTTGACAAAAGCAAATGAAGCAGATAAACTTTGCGCATAGCACCATGCTTTATATTAATGGACATTTGTGCTGAATCATATGACAATCATTCTATAAATTAAGAAGTTGTACCTTTGACAATTGACCTAGAGGCCTAATTAATGTGTGCATCATATTTTATCGTTTTCCTTTTGTCATATGAGCCTTTATCACATACCTGTGCCGCTTTTTGGGACTCCGTAAGAATGGTATTGCACGACCGTGCAGATATTTAGACGTTACGTCATTTCCGTCATATAAACATAGCGTTAAGCCGCGCTAAATGGTAGGCTTTACTTTTGGTGCGCCAATAAACATGATTCCTTTTCACTCTTAACTGTCTTTTCTGGATATGTGTTGAATTGAACATTAAATTCGTGTAAGTTCATTACTGAATTTATTGAACTCGTTGAATAAAATAACATTCTGCTAGCCGACTTGCATTTTATAATAAATTCAACTCGTTCAATAAATTCAGTATTGAACTCACACTCGTTCAACATCCTATATTTATTGTACTGGAAAGACTAGTCGCATGCTGGTAAACATCTTGATATAATGTCTCGATTCATGCCTACTAAATAATAAACTCACGTTTTTTTATATGAACTCTGACTTCTATGTGTGACATTGAATATTACACAGGGACCTCAATATTGTGGGCATACACAATGTCTGTCTTTCACGGTGTCCAGTTTGGGCCAACGTGTCACACACAGAACTCGAAAAATTGAAAACACGAAATGAAGACGATGACAAGTAGAAAAACAAAACCACGATGGTAACATGTCGGAGGTACAATGATGAAATATTGAACGTACGTTGGTGAAAATCTAAAAAACGAACCCACGAGGGTAAAAACTCTACACGTTTTCACCATCATTCTTCCGACTTTTCATCATCATGGTTTCGTATTTCGACTTTTTATCATCGTAGTTACATATCGCCTACCAAATTATTCGTGCCCCTGTACTTTGAGTTTCTGTGCTTGAAGGTTGCGACTGTTCATACACTTTGAGTTGTCATAATGTTTCTACTTAATATATGTTATTTGAAGTCTCTGATGTTCACATGTAACCACGCGATCGCTTTTATGTTTCATGTTCTAAACTTTTAAAACCGTCAATACCTGCTGTTTTCTTTCTCTTTTTCAGATTTTATAGCTCTGCACGTTAATGGAGTATCTTCTTCAGTCTGGTTAGGAATGCAGGATTTAGATACTGACGGTCATTTTGATTGGAGAGATAATTCGCCCCTGGACTATTCAAACTGGGCACCAAATGAACCATCTAGCAATCACTACGATGCCTACGCAAATGTAATTTTATGGGTTTATTTATTTATTATTAATGCTTTTGATTCTGTTTTAGTTTTGTGGAACACATCATAGTCTCAATCAAATTTGAAAGTGGCCACTTTTTATTTCAATTATATCATTTCAAGGACAGTTCCAGTCGAAAATATATCAAATTGCATTTTTGTTGCTTAAAGTTCCCTTCTGAAAAATGAACGTTTCAAATTAAAGCGCACCTTTTAAAGTAATAGAACACGATTTCAAATTGTTAAAAACCAACAACAAAAACAACAACAACCCCTCCCCCCAAAATAAATAAATAATAAGATAAAGGCTAGTTAAGTGGACATTATATCATTTATGATCTGTTGATAACTTACAGATGAAATGTTGACAGATGTTGGATTTTCTAGCTTAGATTATTTTATTCTTACTTTGAAATTAATTCATTTTGTGATATTTTTTCATTTTATAATTTTAAAAGAGACAGGCTGAATATTTGTTAGCAAAAAATTATATATCATACCACGGATAATGTGTGTTTCAAAAAGTATAATATATTGTTTAAAAGGAGCTATGTGTTGAAATGTGGACAGATGCTGGTAATCTTGGTTTATGGAATGACGTAAAATGCTCTGTTAGTAGAGGATTTCTGTGTTCAACATTTAAAGGTTTTCAAGTCTTTTTTTATATAAAGCATGTAATTGTTAATGAAAAGAAATCGTTTTAAACATGTTGCCTAAGTCATGTAATATCATGTCAAATTCTTCGTAATAAATGTTACGGGGCAACGTGCAAGAAGGCTCAAAATCCAGGGCATGGTGATGGAAAATTAGTTGACAGTTTCATTTATTATAACAAAATAGTTTTAAAGAAGCGGAACGTACTTCCTGACAAAAATGTGTCGGTGAAATCTAGTATATTATATAAGTCGTTAGTTTACAGGTTCTATACAAAGTCAGTTTAAACAAAAAAAGTATGAACTCCTATGTCTTACATAATATTTGTACGCTAATTTGAAAAAAGTGTCTTGAAATCAATAGCCATTAGATGTTGAAGACTTATTTTGATAGATATATAAACGAATTGCGAATACAACATAACTGTATTTTGTTTATGTTTTAGACCCTTCAATACCCATTCTGAGTGTATGTCCTGACGGGTATGTTTTACTGAAACAGATATGCTATAAGTTGATAACTGCAACACAGTCTTGGAACCAAAGTTTGCAGTCATGCTCAATTGATGGTGCCCAAATGATTTCAATTGTGAATCCAGTTGATTTCCTCGTGTTAAAGGTGTTGTTAGGCTCCGTCGACCTGACGACTGAAGTTTGGGTTGGGGGAACTTTAAACGACGTAAGACTTTTCGTAATTAATTTTTGAAAGTTATTTTTATTGTTTACCCTAAACCAGCAAGGGTTCTTAAAACTTTTACAATTATTAAATTTAAGGTTATCAAATCGTAAGTTTGATGTTGACCAGTTATCTGTATAGAGCTTGGCCAGACTTCAAGGTGGTCTGATTATATTCTTGTGACAAAAACTAATCATTTTAGGTTTTCGTTTTATGTCGAAACAAGCTCAAATATAACTTACATTTTAATATATAGAAAAAGCCTATTAAATTAAATTTAGTCATACTCACACTGTTTTATCCAACAATGTTATTTTTAAAATTCTTTATAAGTATTCTTGATAAACTATTACAGAAAGCATGCAATAAACAAAATACGAAATCAATATTTTTAGACTGTTGATAAATAATCTGATTATTTTTTTCTCAAACGCATCTCTTATCATTCTTTGCTAATATTTTACAATTTATAGAACAATTTGCAATGGAATGATGGATCGAGTTCAACTGTATCTGTGCGAACTTCGATACCCACAGGATGTCTTTATAGCCAGAGAAATATCTTGTCAAGTGCTGAATGCAGCGAAAACCATGCAGTTATTTGTAAAATAGATAACAGTAAGATTCATTAACTTGTATTCTTGTTGGAAAAAGAATCCCAATTTTCTCAATCAAAACACTAAGATTTCAAAGCTCCTCACTGGTTTGTTAATTCTCGTTAAAAACTTACAATTAGTTTGTGTAGAAAGCAACGTTGTCTTATCAATTGATATTTTATTGAATATTTCCATCTTATAATCATAGGCATGCATAATTTTTAAATGATTTTAAGGACGACTGCACCTTCTTTGCAAACATTGTTTGAGCCGTCAGTGAACATGCTGATACTATCTTCATGTTCTTCTTTGAATTTTAAAAAATACATCAACAAAAGAAAGAAAAAACAAAACAAAAAACAAAAAAAACAACAACAAAAAAACAAACAAAGGAACCTTCGATAAAAAATAAAGCAGTTTAGAAAACCTTAAAAAATACCCCAAAAAGTTGATTATGACCAGAAGTTTTATACTTATATAAAGAAGTTGTGTATACATCATTATTCTTTCAGGTATAAGTACAACCTCTTCCACTACAGTTGTTACAACCGTAACTGATCCTTATACTTACTCATGCCGTGATAAATCTTGGATACTCTACAAAAACAACTGCTATACAACTGTTCTAGAATTAACCAGTTTTCCATACACAAAATGTTCCGATTACGGCATGGCCCTTGCCAGTATAAAAAGCGCAGACGAAGAGTACAACATAACGACGCAAATATTACAAAGATATTCATCGGAAAGATATCACGGCCATTATCCTTATTTTTGGATTGGGCTTACATTGCTAACAGGTAAAATTTTTGCTCTCGTATTTAATATACTTGCTTGGTAAATTGCTTTTAAAACACATAATGTCCCTTTCCGAGTGGATAATTTTTAATATACATGTATGTATAATTCTATAAAAAAGTTATAACTACACGTGGGAACGAAACATGAGAAATAAATTCAAAGAAAGAGAAAAAGAGAAACGTAAATACTTGTGTGTGTTTTATTCAAAAGATAATAGACAATAACATAGAATAAATGTGAGACGTCGGCATTCGGGTTTTAAAATATGAAATGTTATAATTGTTAAGATCAGAAATAATATGTTAGTGTTGTCTTAATCTAAATCTTGTAGTATTTTTCTGGTCCTTCAGATCGTTGTTTGTAGCACTTTTTGTGTTGAAGTGCTAAATTCGGTGCAAGGAGAATGAGAGATGTTGCATATTTCCATATCCTTTTTCAACAGACTTAATCAAACATGGTCTGCCTTTTTTCACGTATTTAAGTTGTGTTCATTTAACATCGAATGGATCTTCCTTTCCCAGGATTTTGATCATATATACCGGAGTGTTTTATAATTTTAGGGAATGAGCCAGGAGATACGTGGACAGATGACAGCAAAGTTGTTTACTCTAACTTTGACAAGGATGACAATAACAAAAGACAGGGTTGTGTGTATATGGTGTTATATACACAACAGTGGCGAGTAGGGTCCTGTATGGATAAACATTTTTATATTTGTAAAAGACCTGCAGGTAATATTTTAATGCAAATTTCATTATCACCTTGCAAAGAATATAATAAAACATAAAGAATATAATAAATAAGACAAAATAATTAACACAAGGAATATGATTAATACAAACAAAACGTGTATTTATTAGAAAGGATATATTGAACGCAAATGATAAAATTAACACAAATACATATCATAATAAACTCTTCATTCTTGAATATTAATTGTTATTAAGACTTAATAATACGGCGTATTAAAATCTTTTTATTCCCGTTTGTTAATTACAAAATAATAACGTCATCGTATAGCCATAGATAAAAGGTTAGTGCTTGTTTTAGTATAAAAGTCTTGTTAATTTAATTAATATAACATTTTAATGTAGAATATAGCCACACTTTGTATACGTTGATTTGGGACTCTAAGGGAAAACTTACTCTACGGATTTATATGCAAAGCTAATCAACCAATCAATCAAGCAAAATATCAGCCATTATTTAATTTAGAGGCTTTAAGATTATATACACATAAAATGTCACAATAAAAACTGAATTTTGTAATGTTAATATTACCACTCCCTTTGTAATAGTGTTTTATCCTTAAGGTCTTTAATATTCTAAATGTTTTTTGGACAAGATATCCATTTTCTCTTTCGTAAAATTATCCTATGTATTTCAGATATCGCTGCTGTCCGGTTAAGAACAAGTCGAGCAGAAAATTCAACAGTATCGTCAACGCTAACAACAACAACACAGTTTAAATTGCCACACATTCATCGAAGTAGTAAAATGAACCGAGGTTTCTATATATTCATTATAACATTTTTACTTTTGTAAAAGTTATAGATGTAATCAAACGTTTTATTTTTTTCATTTCTTTCAGTATTATGATTGGAAATTTGTATGAGTATTGTATCTCACAAATGAAATAAAAATGGTAAACTTTAAATCTTACTGTATTTGGAATTTACTTTATTTTTTTATAAGAACCTTTTTACAACTTATTTATATGCTTTTCAAATGCAACTGTACGGACATTGTTAAACTGATCAATTCATTTGTGATTTCAGTTGCAGACGATTCTGGTTTAACTGGGGGACAGATCGCTGGCATCATTATAGGTGTAATTGGCCTATTAGTGATCATTGGAAGCGTCGTGTACATCATAAAGTCATGGACATTCAAGAAAACCCCATACAATTTTCCATCACCATCACTTGGATTTGATAATGCATTGTTCCATAAAAATCAGGAGAGTGTTGACATAAATTAAGATGTATTACTTTGAGACGAACATCAAAGATAAATGAGAACTTTTTAAATTGAGAGAGTGTTAAAATTGAGCGTATTTATAATATAATGAGTGACAGGTCGAGAGAGACTTTTTTGTTTATGTTATATTTAAATAGAATAAAGTCAAGTGAATGATTGTGTGAGAAAGATTATTATATCTTATCGTAATAAATTTATCATACACTACAAATTGTTTTCTTTGTTTTTTTAAAGAATATTTCATTTTTTAAATAATTTACTTCTAACTATAACTTAATAGACTGAGATATTCTGATTTGTTAAGATTGTAAAGAAAATATAAAAGAATAGTCAGGTTTACAATTGGCTAAAGAGAATTATTTGATAGTTTGATGGTGTAGAACTTATCATAAATTGTACAAAAACAAATTGCTTTTATGTAATCTCTTCTTAATTTGCCAAAATTGACTTGGTTTAGATAACTCGAATAGTACAATAGCGTAACTATTTGGCAAGGAAACATTATTTCATAGATACGCTTATATTAATATGTGTAAAGAATTAAATTTGACATTTATTTTTAGTAACTGTCATATATTATTTTTTTTATTAATGATGAAAAATAAAAATGGCAGAGAAAGACTTTTAAAATTCCCTTTCAAAGAATGTGGGTATATTGTTTTGTTAATCATTTTCATAATGATTATAGAGATTTCGATAGAACTGAGAACATATTTCATTAGTTTTACAACCAAATACTTTACTCCAAAAATTTAACATTTTACAAATAATATCAATTTCAATGTGGGGGAAAGCATCTACAACTCCTAAAACAGAAGGATGCGACATTTTGACTTTAAATATATATTTATAACACTTTATTTGCATTTTAGGAATTATAAAATTATTTTCATATCTCAACACTTTCAATATATGCAATAGTATTGGCCTACCAAACCGAGCTTGCAAAATTTTCAATTTTGTCTTTTTTAGGCGTTCTTTAGGGATTCCGTTTTTTTTTCAAACATGCAGTTAATGGCAGTGTGAAGGCCAGCTTGACATTCAGCAAACACAGTTGTATCATCAGCATATAATATCAGATAATCCTCAGAAAGACATTTACTTACATCTTCATTGCTTAACTCTTCATTTATCTGATCATTTTTAACTTGTCAACCCTTCGCAATGGGTAGGCATAAAGGATACTTAAATTTTAAAAAAATTTGAGAACAAAATTGGAGAAAGATTTTCTCCCTAACGCACACCTAAACAAGAAACAAATCAATCTGACAATTAATTGTTCACTTTAAATTAAAACTTTGCTTTGTCATAAATATTATAAATAACTTTAGGCATTTAACTATCAATATTGTGTGCTAAAAATTTCCTCCAAGTTGTAAAATGTTTTGTTTTAAGCACAACAAAGCACTATAATCATTTCTAATTCAACAAGTAAATGTCAATAAACTATTTCAAGAAAAAACGTATTATCTGTATATTATTTTGTATCTTAGCCATTACGAAAACCTGTCAAGCAGTAGATTAGATTCTTCTAAGAAAAGTGCATTTTTCAGTACTTTATATAACCATCCATGTACTCAAACGTACGATCTTAAAAGCTGATCTAATTTATCATCTGTGAAAAAAACAAGAATAAAGATCAATAAGGTAAGGGCAACGTTCACAGGACGTAGCCACCGACACACCCAAGTAGGGCACCTAGAAGACACCCAACAAAAACCTGGAGTGGACATTAGGGCGGCGAAATGAGAGGGACATGTAATGTATGAAATAATATAAACTAAAACGGGCACAGATGGGAATTAAAAGGATTAGGGCTGAAAAGGGGAGGGGGTAAAATATGGGAGGGGATTGAGAAAATGCCTACCGTAAATCATGTAAACGACAATCCATCAAGGCAGACATCACAAACCGTAGTTACTAGGTTACAAGAAACTCTAGAGTTCCAATAATAGCTGAAAAGTTGACTCAACCAGACATAGGGACGATTACTTCTATATGTTATCCATCAAAGAACGATTACATCAATAAAATTTAAATTACGCTTAAATTACTATATTTTTAAACTATAACCGATCAAATTACAATTTTCTTTGAAAATGTAGTCGATTACATTTACAATTACTTTTTTTCGTTTTCATAGATAAACAGATAAATAAATCTAAATAACACTGATATTTTTATTTACACAAAAGACATACCCACTGTTGCAGCAGACAATTCGGAAAATTTGACAAAGTAACAGGGGTGTTGTCCACTAAATTGAAATAGGTGAGCCACATTTTATCATAATTAATTTTTCTAATGTCTTATCACTCAGTCTAAAGTGCTCTGGACGGAATTTTGCCAGCTACGCTAAACAGTAGCTCAACTGAAGCTGGTGAAGCAGGTATTGACAAAGATTTTGCTAAACATGAACATTTTGAGTATCGTTATCCTAGAATTCCAGTGGGTTTTTCGAGATTTCTATGTAAGGTTAATCAGTGTAAATTGTAAGTTCAAAATGTTGACATAAACGATGTCTCTGTTTTTGTAAGGTGTGGAGAAAATTTTAAATGAAATAAATGAAGTAAAACTTTTCAAGTAAATAAATTTCATCTTTAATTGAGTCTGTTCAAAATAAAACTAGTTTAACATATAACAACCAGTGCACTTTGCAGTATTTTTGACATGAAATACCGTATTTGCACAAATATATAGTACAGCACTTCCATAATTGACGTTTTTTTCTACGCCAAAGAAATTGAATTAAAATACTAATGTAATTCCGGGCATGTAATGATGGCAATTACTATTAAATATAATCGACTTTTAGAAAGTAATCGAATACATTCGATTGCATGGAAAATTGTGATAGATTGCAATCGATTACGATGACACCATGACTGGAGTCAACGTCCACAAACTGCAAAACTAAGGGCGATTTTTGTCTCAAATTAAAGTGCTACGTAACAGACATTGCATTATGAAAAGTGTTTACCTTCTCTTCATTTCTTTCTTTAAGTTCTATGTTTAGAGACTGACTCGCTCTTTCTAACTTTTATCCCTTTTTTGCATTTAAGGCTGCATAAAATTGGATTTTAATGCAGGTAACTTGTATTTTCTTTTAAAAACACTGAGCATTTTTAAAAATATATTTAGGGTTTTAAAGTTAATCAATAAATTTAGCTTTAACTGCAGCGTAACTATGTATTTGAAAATGTTTATTTTTTGTTGTTATCACTGTAGCCAAAAGAACGTTAAATTTTACCATTGGTATTACTAATAATATGTGGTATGAGATATATTGTCATGTTGTGTCAATAGGCAAACATGAAGTATTTATAGAGTGCAAATAAGCGATACAACAGATGGTCGAACTTAAATGCTCACAAACTAGCTGACGACAAATAGCAGGTAAAGTAAAATTCTGACCTGTTAAAAACGAATGATTGTTTAAAACTATTGTCTAGTAATATAAGATTTAAATGAAGTGTCGAGTGGTCGTAGAACGTATTTCTAAGTGTGTCTGTAAAATAATATATGGAGTGTAACGTATTGAAACTGTTAATAAATTCGATAAACATATAGCATGTTAATCAACACACAAATGGGATATATCAACAGGTGCATCAGCGCGCTGTTTATGGTATCACATTGCACCTTATTATTATCTCAACCAGCAGCCATATCGCATATTCAAAATAACTCAAGTTACATGATCTCTTGGGCTTTTTTAATCTTTCGAACACTCAGTTCTTCTTTCTTCGTAGTGGGAAAGTGTGTCATTTCTTCATTTCCTTGACACTTGTGTAAATGGTTTTTTAATAAAGTAGTGTCAATTATCATGATACCTTATTTTATTTTCTAACAAATATTAAATGATGTTGCTTGCTAAATGACAAAAAAGCCACAATGTACGGAATTTTCTTGGTTTCTGAGAGGTGGTTAATTGTTGCATTAAGTTGACGTTTTTATTTTATTTTTTTATGGTTGGGTTTTACGTCGCACAAACTAAGTTAAAGATTGTTAATATTTTCCAGCTTTATTGGTAGATGAATACCTCAGGTTTCCCCTAAATGCATTATTTCAGGAACGAGCGGGCACCTGATTAGAACCTTCGACGTTCCATTAGCTAGCTGGATAGCTTCGAAACATTAAAAAACTAAAGTTCCTGACGGGATTTAAACTTACAGCGGCGAGGGGAAGTCGTTTGAAGTCAACAATTTTAATCACTCGGCAACGGACGCCCCTGACATTTATGTAAATGACGTTTTTATTTAGTAGTGCCAATAATCATATCTAAAAATACTTTCTGGCGAATACAAAATGATGTTTCCTGCCTCAATGGTGAACAAGCCACAACCTACGGAATGAGCTTGCTTTGAAATGGAGGATTAACAATTCTTGAAACGGCACTCACTGTCACAAAACCGATTAAAAGAGACTCGTCACCGTTTGGTTTATTTGCCGTTTTATGTCGCACAAACACTGTTAAATGTAATCCAGGTTTACTGGTGGAGGAAGTCCCCAGGCGCCTGTCATGCATAACTTCAGGCTCAAATGGGTACCTGAGTAAAACCATCGATGTTCCGTTAATAAGGTACCTTTTCGAGTACTTGTAATCCGCGTATTGATTTTGCAAAAGGTTAATGACAGGCTCCATATTTTGAATGTAAAGTTTTCAATTTTTCATTAATAATTTCTTTATTTTCATATTTTGATTTCAAGTTTTTTATCTCCTCTTATTCCGTTTTCGTATCACATCTTTTTAAACTTATTGTTTGCATTTAAGTTTCAGTTTCCAAAAGCGTTTGGTATGAACGGCTTTAGGTTATGGTTATTCCATGCCGTATCACATGGAACAAAACGCATCGGTGTTGCATTGGATTGTAATAAAAGAAATTAGTTTGTTTTGAAGAAATTTAAATGTACATATTTTTAAGTTTCGTATTTTCCTTTGAGATGATTTGTATAGTGCTGTGCAGCTTCTAAAATTTTAAAAGCCGCGATGTCACACGTCTGTGTTTTTTCTTTGTTTTGTTTTTTGTTAGATTTGGTAACGGGCCTGATGCCTATAATGACACTCATGTATACTATCTTTCTGCTCAAATTTCATTTTGTATTGTTGGTCATTTGCTTATTAGAAGTTTAGATATCGTTTACAGGGGATAAGATTAATAATGTCCAAGGCATTAAGATAAACCATTAAGAGCGTGTCAGCTCTGCCTA